ACTTAGAGAATCACCTTATTTTTTCTTATGTTGATCACTGGTTCAATAGGTTACATCCATAAATTTTAGGGTCCGAAAATACTTGTAATTGGAATTTTATCCAAGGGAGCAAATCGACAGTGTGGCTCCCACAAGAGCTGCTAAGTGTTTCCAAACCTTTCAAAGTCCTCGCAGAAGAGGGTGGAAAAGGTAAATGAACACACACTCCCGACCGCTCGGAAACGTTCGACAGCATGTGGTCACATATAGCTAGAAAGTATTGTGCATGGGTTAATTTATAAAAGAAAATTGTTTCATGTGGGCTGAATTGCATTTCTACTCCAGAGCTATAAAGCATTCATCTTAAAGATGGATGTAAATAGGTAGTCTTTTTAAAAACAAGTGTACATAACGATCCAAATGTTTTTTTAATATAATTATTATTTTTAATTTTCAAAAAACAATTCATATTCATAACGATTCAAATGTTTTTTTAATATAATTATTATTTTTAATTTTCAAAAAAACAATTCATATTCACGATCTCCGTGTTAAAGATTATATATTCTCTAAAAATTAAGATCAAATTCTATTTAAAAAATATATTTATTGCCAAGCCCGCATTGCTACAATATGCGGGCTGGCCACATAGAAACTTACAACAATTGATATATTTCGCACTTCAATCCTGTAGTATCCGAAAAATAAATTTTGGTACTAAAACGAGAAGTTAAATAATGGATGATTTTGATAGAAATAGGAATCTGTACCCTCAAAAGGTCGATTGCTTATTCCAAGTCACGGAGAGAAAAAGTTATTTTGGTTGCAATGCTAAAGAAATGAAATTTAAGAGAGAGAGATTGCATACAAAAAAAACCAAGTAATTTTTGAAGTCATAGTCAAAAAGTGTATTGAATTATTGGGGTTAAATTTTCATTGAACACTGTGGCCTACAATGGGTCATATTAATGGCAAGACTTTTGGGAAATTCTTTCTTCACTTTTTTACCTTACAATGGTCTATAAATTTCGATACTGAATCCTATACCCAGCATAAGCAAATTCATTCAATAGCATTTCACAAGCAACGGAAATGGTGAGGTTTCCAATCTCTATCTTGCTCTTTCCTATTGTTTTCGGTCTTTTAGTTACATCCTATGGTTTATCATTAGCTAAACTTGAAGCAGAAGCACTATTTAACTGGAAAACCAGTTTGAAAGCTTTGAATTTGGAGTCTTGATTTCTGGACACCTACAATGAGACCAGCCATTGCGGGTGGGCAGGTGTTCGATGCAATAATGATGGAAGTGTAATTGAGATAAACCTTTCAAATTTCAGTTTGAACGGTACTCTCGATGAATTAAAATTCTTGTCATTAACCCATTTAACCCACCTCAATCTTAGTTCGAACAATCTTCAAGGTAAAATCCCCAGGTCCATTGGCACCCTTTCGAAGCTCAATGTTTTGGATTTGGGTAGCAACATGTTTACGGGTTCGGTGCCAGTGGAGATTGGCAATCTCACAGAGCTTCGCAGTATTTCTCTCAGAAGCAATAGCCTCTCTGACCCGATCCCTTATCAACTTGGTAAATTGAAACAGGTAAGGTTCTTAGACTTTGGAAAAAACCACCGTACCTCTCCCAACTCTGCAAGATTTCAGTCCATGGAGTTGGTTGCTTACCTCTCTCTAGATTTTAATTATTTAACGGAGTTCTCGAGCTTCATTTTTTAATGCAAGAAGTTGGTACACTTGGATTTGTCTTCGAATTCAATAACTGGTCCCATTCAAAATTTATAGGAACTTATACTAAGTGGCAACAATTTCACAGGTTCAACTCCTCATGATATTGGCTTAATCTCGGGGCTCAAAACACTTGACCTGGCTGAAAATATTATTTTGGGTGGACATATCCCAGCATCTCTTGGACAACTTCAGGCTCTTGAGAGTCTACACCTATTCTCTTGTGGGATGAATTTCAGTATCCCATCTCAGCTTGGGCAATTCACGAACCTAAAATACTTAGATTTGGGCGAAAATAATATAACAGGTTCTTTACCACCATCTCTTGCTGCATTGAGTAGAAATTCTGCTTTTTCTATTGCTCTCAATAGAATTACTGGTGCCATTCTTGGGTGGATTTTCACCAACTGGACTAATCTAATAATCTTGAATCTCCTAGATAACTCATTCATTGGACCAATCCCCCCCAAAATTGGTCTTTTCAAGAACCTTCGTACGCTACAAATTTCTTTGAATAAGTTTTCTGGACATATCCTTCTAGAAATAGAGAATCTAACAAATCTTGAGCTCTTGGATCTTTCAAGTAATGGCTCAATGGTTCACTCCCTTCCTCAATCAGAAATCTTTCCAAGCTTGTTTACTTGAACCTAAATGGTAACCATCTCACAGGGTCTCTTCCTCCAGAACTGTGCAACCTTGAAGCCATTAAACTCTTAGATCTAGACTCAAATAATTTTCAAGGCCCATTATTCCCTGAATCTCACCCTCAAGACCAAATGTTGCTCTACATAAGCAACAACATTTCCAGAAATATCTAAGTTGCTTTGAGCCAAAATAATAAACTTCTAAATATCAACTCCTCAATTGTTTTGCAAAATTAGATGTGCAGTAAGTCAGAAAAGTGCATGACCATCAGTCGTCGCAAATTTCCAAATCAAGTAAATCGATTTTCAAGGTCTAATCCAAGAAACATTAGGGAACTCATGCCTAATCTACAATTGTTAAATGTTTATAATAATGGTATTACAGGATCCATCCCCACCTCTACAGGAGAGATGGTGAATTTGAGTGTGCTTGATCTTGCCGGAAATAAATTGATGGGACCTATTCCAACTGCCTTGGGACACCTAACCGATCTTCAATTATTGAACCTGAGTAACAATAAGTTATCAGGTGAAATTCCAGCATCATTGAGAAATTGTTCCAAATTAAAGTTTCTTGATCTTGGTGAGAACTAGTTTTCTGGGAACATGCCAACATGGATTGGAAAAAGCTTAAAGTCCCTTCGTGTCCTTCACCTAAGATCTAATATGTTGAAAGGGGCAATTCCTTGTGGGATATCACATCTGTATTCTCTTCAAGTGCTAGATATAGCACTCAATAATCTATCAAGTGTAATCCCCACCATTTTCAACAACTTGACAACAATGGGAACATGTGGAAATACAGCTGGTCCGGACAAGATTCATAAAATGCAGGCTTTGGAAGAGCTCGATTTATCAAACAATCTGCTTTTTGGTGAAATTCCTTCAAACATGTCATCTCTAACATTCTTGGGAACTTTGAACCGTCATTCAATAATTTATCAGGACCCATTCCCCATGGCGGCCAGATGACTACATTCGATGCTTCGTCGTACCACAGGAACCCACGTCTTTGTGTTCCTCCTCTTCCTGAGAAGAAGTGCACTCATGACGAGTCAATCTCAAATTCAAGCAATAGCAGGGATATGAGATTTCATGGTTGGGTTTAGGATTTGGTTTTGGGTTTGGTGGATTTTTCTTTATGATATTTGCCCGAATGTAATGGTCCTATGTCGTTCTTGAAATCGTGGATTGCATTGCAGAAATTTTGATTATGAGATTCCAGACTTTGATTCGTAGTTGAATGGATCGTGTATTGATTCGCAGTTGCATGGGTCGAAATGTTTGAAAGAAGCATGTGTCGTGTCTGTCATTGTGCTTTTATTTTTGAGTTTTTTTTCTTACCAGCATTTACTTTGTGTTTATGCTGTGAAACTTCAGTTCAATGTATATTGTGAAAGTTCAGGTTAATAAAAACAAGCACTGAGTGTGTATGTTAGAGAGAGAGAGAGGCACATTTTTTTGCATTAGGTGGAAGAGAGAGAGGCACATTTCTTTTGCGAAAGATCATGCAATAATGAGTACCCCTCTGCAATGAGAACTTCACATAACAAAAATGGAATATATGTTAATTACCCATTCACCCTCTCACTCATATGAGCACATTTAGGTTCGTGTCAAAATATTTTTTAGATATACTTTTGAAAAAAATTTGAGGGCCAGGAATGTTTTCACACCATTTAGCTGTAAATTGGTGTAAAAAGATGCACTGGGATCAATTGGTATAAAAATATTCTCACATCTAAATACACAAGAGAATTTTTTCATAAACATGCCTAAATACGTCATGAGGCTCTATCTCTCGTCTGGCAAGGCCGCATGCTCATTTAAGATGTCACAAAATCTTTCTAATCCAATCCTAATACAGTGACATCAATCTAAACCTGGACGCCATATAACAACTAAGAAGGAGACAGAAATGAAGCTAAAAATTGAACGAATTCTTATCACACAAGAGTTGCTAGATTAATCCAATTAGGTCTCCGGATCATTTGCAATACTACTCTAATCAGGGGTGATCTCTAACAGATTATTATCTATATTGACTATATAAGCTATATAGGCGTGTAAATCATATGAAATATTCTTTTCATTAATTTTTATATAAACCAAAAAATCCAAATGCTATCATAATCCAACCTCTTTTGTTTTTCATTTTAGGTGGATTGCAGAAATCAAACTTGAGTTACAGCATTGGTAACATCAATTGCTAACCACTCCAGGCCAAGGCCGATTCTTAGTTTGATAATCTAACTTCATTACTATACAAATACTTAAATAAAAATTCATTAAAAAAAATAGATCTTCTAGCTTACCATGTAACAATTAGTTGTAATAGATTATTCTACATTGCCAGAATAAAGAATTGAGCAGATTTTAAAATTTTGAAAAAGTAAATGTTCTCATTACAAAATGTTCAAAAAAATTCTAGGAAAATCAGAAATTATTTATAAGGAAAATTACAAATAACCCTCAAGACTAGACTTTCTATGCAAGTTATCCGCAACCAAACATTTTTTCATATTTTTGCTCCCAAATTACACTTTTCTAGCAAATAGGCCCCAAGTCAAAAAGTTTTTCTTTTAGACAAAAAAGCCCTTCCCGTACACAAGAAATCATTTTGGCCGGATTTGACGTGGTCTAACCTGAGTAGCAATTGCTAGACCGTACCATCGAATTGTCGGACTGAACTTTGAATTGCCAATCTCCTTATTCCGCAAAAATGAGTGCTAGACTACAGTTTTCAACTGCCGAATCCCTTGTGGCAAATGCCGGAGCACCTTAATGATCGTTGGACCTCTTTTTGTTCCATTAACTTGTACTATCGTACTGCTACTGTTATTTATCGGTTTGACATTACACTGTCGGACTGCCTTAAGAATACGCCAGACCACCTTTTCATGGGAAAGAGGAGAGAAAGGTGTGGGTAAAAGTAACGGATGGTAGTTTAGGTTTTTTTTTTTTTTTCTCTTTTTGAGGGTTGGGGGTATTTGCTAAAAAGGTATATTTTGAAAAAAAAATGTGAAAAAAAATTTGGTTGGGGGTAACTTGCATAGAAAGTCTAGTCTTGAAAGTTATTTGTAATATTCCCTTATTTATAATCCTCTACTATATTCCAAGTAGACCTTATTAATGAAGAATCCGAAAGGACATTTCCTACTTTTTAGGGACCAGCAAGTCGACCGTATTAATGAAGAATCCAAAAGGACATTTCCTACTTTGTAGGGACCAGCTAGTCTAAGACGGTAAACATTTAAAAATTAAGAAGGCATCATTCTCTCGCTCACAAAAGAAAGCCTAAAAATTTTAAAAATAAAAATTACATGGGTATTATTTTTTTGGATGCGGTTTGTATAGAGCCAAGGCTCTAAATAATCAAAGTAAAGCGTACCTTTAAATAGTATCGAGAAATGTGGTTTCAATACTGGAAATCTTTGTGATAGCCTTAAAATATATTTTCATCTTTAATTATAAAATTTAAAGCTTAAAAAATAGTGTAGATCGAGCATACCTATGAAAACTTGAAAGTCTTGAAAAATGACGGTCAAAAAATGCGTTACAAGATGCACTATTTTCAAAACTTGAAATCCATTTTTTTTTTCATGTCCATGCATCTTGATGTCGAGATGATCAATTTGAGGATATTTAAGCATCAAAACAACCACTTCTAGTGAAATTTTTGAGGTGGGTACTAATTTTGTTGTTTAGAGCCTCGGCTCTATATAAACGTTTTTGTTGTTTAGAGCCTTGGCTCTATATAAACTTTTTCCTTATTTTTTCCCCTTGTTTAAGGGATTATTACTATTAAGAACCGCACTTGGGCGTAAGAGGTTAACAATGGCTTGAGAGGTTAACAATGAGGTCGTTTGGGTACTTAAAAATCTATTACATGATAATAGATCATAAAGAAATATGATTTTTCCACTGTTTGGGTACACTTAATCATAAGAAAATGGAAAGAAATTACTCACGATTACTCCAAAAATCAAGAAATCTATTATGCGGGTTGATAGGTGAAAAATCTTTGAGAGGTTGACAATGACTTGAGAGGTTAATAATGAGGCTTGGGTACCTGAAAATCTATTACGTGATAATAGATTATAAAGAAATATGATATTTCCACTGTTTGGGTACACTTAATCATAAAAGATTACTCCAAAAATCAGAAAATCTGATAGGCGTTTTTGCCAAATTAAAAAAATCTTCTAAGCCCTTTTATAATAACTAGGTGATCCCTCGCATTTTAAGCTTGTCTCCTTATCTGAACGCATTAGCTGTCATATAAAAATAAAAATAATAAAAATAAAAATCAGTAATCAATGATAAATTAAACAATACAATTATAATAAAAAATTTCACACAACATAATGTGATCCCATTCTTTTTAAGCTCGTCCCCTCATCTGAATGCATCAGTGTCATATAAAAACAAAAATAATAAAAATAAAAATCAGTAATCAATGATAACATAATAAAAAATTTTACATAATATAATCCTCATAAGATATTACTAAAATCTCAATTAAAATAATAATTTTGCATTTTAGTGGAATTTTGTGACAAAAGGGAAAGAAATGATAATTTATAGGCATGTGCTGGTAAAATGTTGGTAATGCATTTCCTATATTTCTTCCAGACATAGCCAAACAATAACAATGTATTTCCCAGGTTGTATCTAAATACTACCCAAACATTAACCATCCATTTACAGGTAATGTATTACACCAGTATTATATTTCACAGACAATATATTTTCAGGTATCCAAATGGCCCCTTAATATTTAGCAATGCCACATCTTAACTTTGGTTTCTGCTGAATTACAAAGGTTACTAGTTATTCTTCATGCAAGTTCGCCTCATTTTTTGAGAATAAATTACACGTAAATTTCATTTTTGTAATAAAGTTTATCTAAAAATATAGTTGAAAACTCAAAAATGAATGAAGTTATCATAATTCATTGTGGTAAAAAAATATTTCATTGCTTTTGCATTTAGGATAGGTGTTGAAACCCCATTTTTTAATTTGGCAATTTCCCCTATCTTTCTTAATCTTAAAACCTTTAGAAATGCCTTAGGAAGGCCTAGTGATCCCCTAGGACCATATTATCCAAAAACACCCTAAACCACAAATCCTACAGTCTGCAGTCCCCAAATTATATTCCCTGATCCCATAATCACTTTTAAATTTTAAAATAAATAAAATTGGGGATTAGACTAGTTGTTAAGTGTGAAAATTGGATAGAAATCATCCGAAAATGAGTACAAAATCACAAGAACTGAAATCCCATGATTTGGACCGTTGTTGACAGGGACGACGCAAGACCTGCCTTCCGGATAAAGTTGACTTAAACGGCAAAAATCACGTCATTTAGACCACCCAACACCGGAAGCTTGCCTCTAGGCCATACAAGGCCTGGACGACGGAATATATATCGTCTGGCCCGGTCTGTTTGACCGCCAAATAATTCTAAATTTGAAGGGGAAACGGTATATAAAAGGGTTCAGACCCGGCCACTTGAAGGGGGTTCAAACTGATGAGACATAAATGAACTAAAAATTAAACAAAGGCTCATCATATAAGAGTGTTCCAATACTAATTCAATTAGTTCTCCTCATCTAATCTCGTTTAGGATCTTAATCTAAACAGCGGCGATCTCTAACTGTTTATTAACTATGCTGACTAATATAAGCTCTATGGGCAGTTCAGTTTTAAGAACCGAACTCCAGATGTAGCATTGCTCGCATCAAGTGCTAACCACTCAAGACTAATTTCTAATTTCTAATTTCTTTTTGACACAGATAACTGAGAATTTCTTTCCTTACTAACCAGTGAAAAGATCACCTATTTCCCCCTCAAATAGGCCATTATCTCCAACAAAGTGGCACGTTTGGCAAGCCTGATTTCTAATTTGATAATCCAACTTCATTCCTCAACAAACATTCATTAAAAAACAATAGATCCACTAGCATACTATGTGACATATATTTTTGATAGATGGTTCTACATTGCCAAAATAGAAATTTGAGGAATAGATGTGTTAAAAAGGCCTATAAAAATAATTTCTTAATCTTTCAAATAAAATCCTAAAAAAAAATCCAAAAAAAAAAAATCATTCATAATCTTAGACTATATTATGTTGGGACGTGATGCCAAAACATCAGCCTCATATGGAACTCACTCACTAAAGTGAGAGGTATTTTTGTCACTAAAATTAAGCTTTCCAGTGTATGCTCATAAAAAGGGGTTTTTCAGAGAGAGAGAGAGAAACATGGAATTGAAAGAGTGGGAGCTCTTTGTAAACAAAAAGTGAACTTGTAGAGAAAATTGAGGGTTGGAAACTCGGGGGTTTGCTACAAAACCCTAATGGAATTTCTTCTCAGTGTCAGTTAATCGAAGAAACGGGTCGATTG